AGGTGTGGTTCGTGCCTCAAGCATCTTCCCTATCCTTAGTGCCATGCTCCTGCTACTTGGGGGCCTTTGTGTTGCTGCCAGTCGTGTTTACAAATCCAAGCGCAACATCATCCTAGGAGCTGGAATTCTATTTGTTGCTGCAGGTGAGAAAAAAAGGTTTTGAGATGAACTCCAGCAAAAATAACAATCTTAAGTGTTCTCAATTTTTTTTTGTTTGTGAGCTTTATTACAGCTTTATTAGATTACAGTGTACATTATAGCTCCTTGCTGTGGTCCATTCCCATCTTATCCATTTTGAAAATAAGAAAAATGTTCTCTATTTTTGTTCCTATGACAGCTCTAGCATATTGGATCTCCCATCACATTCATTTCCAGAGGCAATACTGACTTTTCCTAATAGAGAGGGCAAATCTCCGCAGCAGGGACTCAGACCACAATAAAAACCTGAAAGGGGTTTTAACGCATCCATACTCTATCCAAAAAACGTTTTGGCTTTACATACACTTTGAAATTAATGGTTAGGGATAGAGTTTATAGAAGCTATTAATGTTAAGTCATACGTAATATTTTGAGGTTCCAGTTTAAGTTAGTTTTTAAGGGCATGTTTTAAGGGTTCAGTTAAAGTAGATCTTAAATTGATCTGAATGAATTTTAGTTTTCCTAAAGCACTGTGTGCCATAAACATCTGCCATGTTTTTTTTTTCTAAAGCATGGTTTTAACTTTTTTTTCCTTTGTTACATCTCAATGCAGCTGATATTTGACCTATTACAGCCACTGCCTATCTATTTGCACTGGCTCCAGCATTGCATTTACAATATTGCTTTGGACCAACTTTCATACCTTGCAGGCTGTGTGTATGCACAGCCACTTATAGTCTCCACCAGGGAAGCATGTGACAGGGTGACAATGCAGGAGTACAATGGGGGACAGTTGTCACCTTATAACAGGAAGTGTATGAACAAGGACCTTCATGGAAGGATCACCAGGTATTTAATGAAAGTTGCATATTTAAAAAAGATTAAAATCACATTAATAGATTAATGCTTTTATGAGATTTAGTGAGCTGGATTATTGACAGGCAGGGGGAATGTTGGCGACACCAGTTGTACATACCTTTACTTCACTTTCCTATTACTCAGTCTGGAGGTTATGACTCGTTTTTTTCACACCTGCATAACATCAATGAGTGCCTGAGCAATCAGTCACCATGAACAAACACCAAGCAGCAGGATAGAAATGAATCACATGTTGCTAGAGTTCCCAGAAGTTCCAGGCTAAATAGAGGGGTGGGGTAGTGAGATTGTGCTGCTTGTAGGGCCATCATTTTAAAAGCAACTGGTGTAAATATATGAATTTCATTGGCATCAGCCTCTTGCAATCTCTTGTAAACCAGAACTCAGACTGGGAGAGGAAAAAGCAGCAGCAAAAGCCAGTCAAATGTGTTGCAGTGTCCATGTGCTAACTAGGAAAATACTTTCAGGAGGAGACAGCCCAGTGACAAAAAAACAAACTCATCAATATTCAGCTTCTCCTTCACTGTCTAGTCACAGGCTGGGGAAGGGACAAAAACTATTTGTATTACTTAACTACAATGTCTGGTCTCCATGCTGGCTGTGAAAATCTCATAAATAATGGACAGAAATACAAATCATTTGGCAGGTAAAAATATTTTCCTTTATGTGAATTTCATTTGTGTAGTTTAAGTGATTCAAAAGGTTTAGCTTTTTTTTTTTAATAACAAACATGTTATATTTACCTGCACTGTGCAATGGTTTTGCACAGATCAGCATCGATCCTTCTTTTATTGGGGTCCCCCTGCCAGCACTTCTGGCCCCTCCCCCATGCTGAGTGTCCCCAGAGCAAGCTGCTTGCTCTGGAGGTACTTGTGCATGCTCGCTCCTGAGCAGCCTCTGTGTGTCCATAAGATACACTTAGTGTGGCTCAGCCCTGCCCCCCCTCTCTCCTCAGTGACAGTAATTGACAGGAGAGGGAGTCAATGGCTCCTGCTGCTGTGTCTCAGTCAATGAGGAAGGAGAGACCCAGGTGAGCTGCTGCTCTTGTGCACATCGCTGGATCGAGAGCTCAGCTAAGTTTTAGGGGAGGCCGAGGTGGGAGCTTAAACCTTTCAGCCTTCACAACCACTTTAACTGTTTGCTTGCCTGGAGTGTAGCTTTAAAGATCTAGTTAAAAGTAAAGTATATTGGTTTGGGGCTATTTTATTGATCTATTTATTTATGTGCCGCGCTCCACTTTTACCAAGAGAATTCATAAATATGTGCAATTTCACTCAAATAATATATAAGTGCAATTTTACATAAATCCACTATATAAATAAAAAATTGTCCATATATAATTATTCACAATTCTTGTGTTCACTGTAATATTTATATTTAATGCTTCCTTCAGTGTCAAAATTCACTTCAAAACTTGTGCACCCCCACCGGTTGTGATCTCACCTCAAATATATGACCAAACCGTTAAGTGAGGTCATATAAAGCCTGTGTCCCTTTAATTGGACCAAGTGTGGATGGGATGGTATCCAGCTGAATAGGATCCCCTTCGCTCGTCTAGCGGCTCTCCTCCATCGGTGCGTATGTTAAGAGAATAACCAGATCATAGTGCGTTATCCTTAAACACTCATTTAGTAGTACACTCACATGATCAAAATACAGAAGCGCTTTGTGCAATAAATTGCCTTCTGTATTTTAGCAGCGGTGATATCCTGTGTGTAACCAGCTCCCCTATGTGTTGCGCCACCGGGTCACATGGCTTCATCAGGGGAATGATTGGATGACACGACGCTCATTCATCCTTATATAGGGGATGCTTAAGCGCCATTTTGTAGTAGCCTGCATGGCATTAGCCATGTTTCTATAGTCTGCTGTACATTGAGCAAAAATCTAACAGCACCGATATTATTAATTTCTTTTGCAAAGACTATATATTCTTTTTGGCTAACCCCACCCTGGAATTAGAGTTTTATATCGGCATATACATCCACATATAGTCCGGGATGCCGACTATTAACATACCGTCTTAGTTCCATTTTATAGGAGCCTTCATGGTGATGGTGCACAAATTTTGAAGTGAATTTTGGCACTGAAGTTGGATTAGGAAGCACTAAATATAAATATTAAAGTGAACATAAGAATTGTGAAGAATTATATATGGACAATTTTTTGTTATTTATATAGTGGATTTATGTAAAATTGAACTTATATATTATTTGAGTGAAATTGCACATATTTATGAATTCTATTGGTAAAAGTGGAGCACGGCACATTTTGGTAATATATATAGTAGGCACATTTGTATGAGTATGTGTTAGATGTAGGTGATCCACTAATTGTATTTTGGTTTGGCACAAAGTATCTGATATAGCAGCTCACAAGTCTCAATTATAATTTTATTTATGTATTTTTTATTTTTAAAGAAAGGTCAGCAATAAATCTGTATCACAGGCTCACTCAATCTGACTTAAACCTTGGACAGAGCTTTATGGAGGGAGGGGGAATGGAAGAGTGATATGTAACTACTCTGACATATCCATCTGTCTGTAAAAAAAATATTATTGAGTTATTGAACTCTGTAAACAACAGGCTTTTTACAACAAGGCGTGTGGAGATGCTGAAAAATATGAATGAGAAACTGAAAGAGCCTATAGCTCCAGCTACTAGCTGGAAATAAGGATACTATATATGTATGTGCAAGATTTTATATACACCACAATATTTGTTTGTCCCAATTATGATAAATAATGAAAATATGTACAAAAACACTATATATTCCCTTTAATGTTATGGACTAGACTATGCACTAGAGTTCAGGTCCAGGTGAGGGTTAAGTGTTAGAGACAGGTAAAAGATTAGGCTACAGCGCAGGGTGATTTATGAAAGCTGAAATTTGACATGTTTGTGACACCAATGCCCATGTTGAGAACAACCAGCACCAAAAATAAATGCTATCATAATAAGGAGGTCCAGAACACCAGATTGTACACATGACTGAAACAGTCCCTTTAAATGTTGTACTGTCCTTTGTAGCCTCCCTGACGGTATTCCCGAGTGTAGCTCGGGGTAAAGTTTCAGTACCAAAAGCGGTAACCCCGAGCTACACTTGGGCTTACCATGTGGTGCTGCTCCAGGATCTGTTCTTCACTTACCTTGTCCTTTGCTCCCACGATGTCCCTCCTACAGTGTCCCCGGCAATGTAATCAGGTGGATGCTGGCATCTGTCATCTGGGTTCCGTCCCCTGCGAGCGTCGGGACGTACGGGGGACGGAACGGTGGGAAATTTGAAAATGACAAAAAGTGACATTCACTCAATACACTAAAATCACATAGTAAAACATTACTGTATCAAACCATTTCACATACATTTTGTCCCTAGTGCTTTGTCCTGTGCCCTGCCTGCATTTTTACTGTTCTTTCTGCCTGGAAACTGAGAAATGTCCATGGCGTCCAAAAAGTGTCCCTTTAGGTCAAAACCGGTTTTAGACCAGCTAGAGAACAGCGATAGTAAATTAGAACTACTTGCAGAATTGAGTGATAATGATTCATGGGGAAATTTGTCATCAGACACTGAAAATGATTTTGCGACTTTGCTCAGTGATGTGCGAACTTGCCGCTATATTTCAAATTTCAGTGTTTTTGGTTTGATTATAATATTAAATTAAATGTATTATTATTATTTTTTATGATTATTTATTAAATTATAATTTATGATTTCGTGTTTCAAATTTTATCATACCCGGGATGTTTACTAGACTCTTGTTCGGACAGATTTCAGTAAGTTATTTCTAAAAATTACAGGCCTACAATAATAAAAAAATACATATTTCCATGCAAAAAAATGTACCGCTTTGAGCACAGAAATATGGACATAATCAGACCGCTAGGGAGGTTAAACATGTTTTTATTTAAAAAAACAAGAAATGCCAATTTTTCTGATAATTTCTCTTTTACATTTAATGACAGGACTAAGCAACATTATTGGTGTAATTGTTTACATATCTGCAAATGCCGGAGATCCTGGAACCAAGAGAGATGATGAGAAGAAAAGTCATTATTCATACGGTTGGTCCTTTTATTTTGGTGGACTTTCTTTTATCATTGCTGAAATGATTGGGGTCCTTGCGGTCAACATCTACATTGAAAAGAACAGAGAGGCCCACTGTAAATCACGTACTGAGCTGATCAAAAACCCCTCTGCTATTCTACGCCTACCAAGTTACCGCTTTCGATACCGCCGACGTTCTAGATCAAGTTCACGCTCCACTGAACCTTCTCAGTCAAGGGACACGTCTCCTGTGGGAGTCAAAGGGATACCTTCAACTGACCATCTCCATGTACACCTTGTCAAGAGATACCTCCAAGGCTAATGTTAGTAGTTTATATAATACAGAGCGCGGAGATCACAGTTTTCTACAGCTTCACAACTGCTTCCCTAAGGAACCAGGGGTCACCGTCACCGTTACAGGACCAGCCTCTAACACTGGCACCCTGGGCAAGGACGGTTCAAATACCAACACTCTAAACAGGAAAACCACACCCGTGTAGGTGGTTCCAAGCCTAAGGTCTTCTAAGTGAGCATGTGTGAGTGAATGTGCAATGCGTGTGACAGAGTGTACGTTTTAGGATGGAGATAGGAGCCATTTTATGCCATGTAGCTGCCAATTTCTGGTGCAGAGGTGTCAGGAGTCCAACCCTCTGTTCTAGTGAAAGAAATTTTGGAACCAAATGGTAAATGTTCTGAAAACTGCATTATAGTGTTTTGATAAAAAATATATTATATATATATGTATATATATATATATATATATATATATATACACACACACATATATATACTTAAGAGATATTGTACATTTTAGGTTGCTGATAAGCTGTTCTCTTTTAAGATAAGGTAAGGTTTATCCAACCATTTTTGTTATTTTACATGCTTAGGACTACATTGCTGCTAAGCCGTAGTTTCTCTGACAATATAATCACAAGAATACAAAGCAGTTTCATGTTTAAAATCACACTTTAAATGTAAATTTAAACCGTCATTCCATTGTAAATGAATACTGTGAAAGACATAGATGGGGAAAAAAAGTCTATAGTTTAATTTTCTGAAGGAGATTCATATTTTGACAAATCTGAATGAAAGGGTCAGTTCTCATAAAGCTTTCATTTTATGTTGAAACATCCACTGGCTTCTTAAAGGCATAAGCCTTCCACTACACAGCAGGAACCATAAAGTGGTAGTTGTAACGTCTGACTTGTTCTCTGTAGCTGGGTTTTGCATTCAGAGCCCCTAGTTATACCTTGTACTTCCAGGTGTAGGGCACAGCCTCCCTGCCTCCACAATGCAGTTCTAGATGCCTGAGTGCCCAAATGCCAGGCCAAAGCAAAGTCATATGGGTGAGGTGGGAGTATGCTCAGCCCTTTACAAGTTTCCACTTTCTTAGTTGAAGAAATTTTAGGGACTGTAGTGGCAGATTTCATTGTAAGGGGAATGGACCCTAGTATGCAATGGCAGGCTCAGTTTGTTTGTTTGTTTTTTACTACCGGTCATTGGAATCTCTTTGGGTCTTCAGCATCAAAATCTCTTTTCTGGAGTTACTGGTTCTGCTTCTTTCCCACTTTCAGCAGAATTTTATTTATTTTGAGATGGTGTAGAGATATCACTGTAAGTATGCCTTATCTATATAAGGAGCTAGTGGCCATTTCCTACTCTACTATTACAAATATGATGATAATAATAACAAACAAACTGTGATGCTGTTGGTTAACCCAAATATACATTAGTAGGAAAGGTGCCTGGTTTTTATTTTCATGTACTTACATATTAATGCTGCACTAGTCCCTTTTCATCTATAACTGAATAGATTCCAAGGAAGCAAATGTTAGAGAACATTTCATTGGGGTTTAATCAAGGAACCTGGACTGTGAAGGTTTTTTTTAACCCTTTGCTTCCTTTGCATCCCCTTTCCATCTGTGCACACTACATTCTTTAACTCAACAACTTCAAAAGGGAATCTTTGATACCCTGAGATGCACATCAATTTTAAGAATAGCAAGGAGTTTATTGTGGGCCTCAGTTACTTTTCAATCAAATTCAAGAGAAAACTAAACTAATACTTCTTCTAGGATGTTCTTATGTACCTGTGTCCAAGACTGATAGTTTCATATTCTAGCTAAGATGTTTAATACACTTTAGATTATGTCAAGGCATGAGACAATTATAAATTAAATTAAACTAAATACTCCAAATGTTCTTCCTAACATCTAGGGTTAATAAAAAGAAGAGGTCCTCAGATCAGAGTTCCCATTCCAGCAGCTGGCAGACCTGTAGTGCTCCTCTGTGTTTGCACTGGTTGTCTCTGCATATAGTTTGATCATGCCTATTGGCTTTTCTATGAGCTTAAGTATGAGCCACCGATAAATGTTGCTGACAGTGTGATTGGTACTGTTCTGTAACCTATATTGCCTAATATCAGTTTGTACTGCACATATTGTGCCAGTTGTGACAGGACTAAACTTTGTTAAAACATAAGTTTAATAAGAGATCAAATGACAAAAATCAGCACAAGGGACATACTTACAGTCGGTAGAATGTGTCCCTTGTACTGTTGTGTCCTCTATTAGCTGAAATCTTCCTCCATTGATCCCCCCTCCCCCCCCCCCCCCCCGCTGTAATATTCCAATGAGTCATGGTTATTAATACCAACAGAACTATGACAGGCACTCATTAAAAGTGTCTCACTATGCCCACTCTTTCTGCCCAGCTCCTCCATTCATAGAAACTGTATTCTAGCTTCTATGAATGAAACAGGATCTAAGAATAGAGAGGGCAAGTGGATAACCGAAAGGTCTGTCCCCTTCATTCATATATCACTGTATGAGCACATAACCAGGAAACAGCTCAGACCTATTACATTCTTAAATGTATGAAATAGTTTATTTGCAGGCTTTAGTGCATTTATGTACACTGCCAGGTTCAAACTGCCTTCATTTTTTTTTACTACAAAGTAGTTCAGTCCCCATAAGTGCAAGCATGTAAACATACCCTCTGACATTAATAAAGGAAACTTGTACTGAAAATAATATAGAGGCTGCTGTTGTTGACCTCCTTCTAAAACTACTAGTTGCCTTGCTGTTTTTGTACATGCACATGCATTGATTTGAGAATAGCTTGAATATCAGGAGGGTCACAGTGGAAGTAGAACTCTGCATACATGGTCCAGGTCAGTGACTTTGAAAACACTAAAATCACTGAAGCAGCATGACATCCAGGCAGCTAGAATTATTGGAAGGAAAAGTCAGTAATGGCTTCTTCTTTTAAAGAGATCCTGTCCCCTTGCCCATTCAGGGCAAAATGACAGAGTTTTTTAAAGCCCTCCCAAACCCAATCATACTCATCTACTTACCTTTATAGCAATTCCCACCACATGCTTTTGGTAGAGTGCTTCAACTTTATGTGAGAACATTGGTGGGTATTAAAACAACTTTTTGCTTAGTTGATTCTAGTCTACAGTTCAGTTGGCAACAAGTACAATTTAAACATTTCTCAACTGATCAAGGGATACTTAAAAAGCTTCTGCAATACATATTTAGACAGTTATAAATACTGGCCTTAAAGTTGATGTCCTACTTTTCAACATCAAAGTCTAAGCTGGAGATGGACACTAGATATTCCTATATTGCATGAAATATTGAAGCAAAGGATTGTGACTACTATCAAAGCTACTTACAGTGTACAAAGTCAACCTTAGGTAATACATGCCATCACATCAGGTGGTAGATATCAAGGATGGTAGTCCTCAAACGAAAATGTTGTGCACCTCTATTGACAGGTCCATGCTTTCGGATCTATAGACTCAACTGGCTAATCTGTACATGGCTGCATAGTGATACAGTATTATATTGTATCTACTCTTTGACTAGTATAGTAGGTATAAAAATGATCCAATATAAGGAAATAATTGACTCTAAGTAAGTGGTAATTGGCACTGCAGATAATTTATAAAAACTAATATTTTTCTTCTGACCTTGTAGCAGGTTGTTCTCCTGACTCTCTAAAACTATATTGGATAAAAACTGGTAGGAAAACAAAAAGAAGCAGTTAAGAAAAGCAGCTCCATAACTGGCAATTAATTTGTCATATAAGTTTCCAGAGTCCAAATGCACCCCAAAAGTCAGCCCTATGATACCCTCTCAATACATATTAAAATAATAAAAGTACAGGACAGCCTTACTCTGCAATTTACACTGTCCTAGGACTGTCTTTTTCTAAATGGCTTCAGGTCATATATATAAAAACTATATGCACCAGCTTTTCTCAACCTTTGTATAACAGAAAAAAATGAAAGGTCTGGTAGACCCCTGCTAAAAATGATTACACCTACAGCTCATGGTAAGCTGCAAAATTTTTTTAAATAAGAGAATGTGGTGTACTTAGACTATTTGACTACCAAGACAGAAGATTTTTAACACCCTGCTGTATATACCAATGTTATTTTCAGCGATAGTTCTGAAACAAAATGAATAATGGTAGAATGAAATGAAATTAAATGCAGTGAAATAGTGAAAATGTTGGTGTCCCCTAGTGTTTGTGGATTGCTTAGAAATAACCCTCTAAATGGGAAATACATGGAAAATGTCCTACTTGTGTTGGTGACAGTAAAGGTGGGGAATACCTCTCCACTGCACATTGCTCGAGGAACTCCTAGAAACCTTAGGAGGAACCCTACGGCTCCATTAAAGTTATTATTATTATTTATATAGTGCCAACAGTTTGCTCAGCGCTTTACAATAGAACGGGAGACAATACAGCAACAATACAGTTCAATACAAGAGGGAAAGGAGGGCTCTGCTCCTTGGAGCTTACAATCTAGGAGTTAGCTAAGAAAGACTCCTTTACACTGTTTTGTTGGCTTTGAGTTTTATTGAGAAACTTTTTCTGCATCACCTTGTAATCAGACCTTAAACAATAGGAATGTGAGCAGGAACCCTCTTTGAAGTTAGGTATAATGATTTTCTGGTTCACAGAAGGAAAGTGTAGGAAGACCATTTGATGTCACAAATCATCAGAGGGTTCTGAAAAGCAGTCATGTTAGTTGTGTCATTTTGTCATGATAAAAATAGCTGCATTCTACTTTTGACTGCTTTTAAGTAAACATTATTTCACCCACAAAGATTTGTTTGTAATGCAGCTTATATCGTGGTTTGGGTGTATTCTTCACTGCATCAAAGTGCTTTTCCATTTTATTCCTTTTTGTGACATTTAAAACTTTAAATGGTTTTGTTAAAAGGTTTGAGGGTCCATGCACAATGCACAGGTGCTGTTAATGTGTTTTAGTTTGCGCTTGGGCTGATATTCTTTTTGTTGCTGGAAAGGATACTTGAAGTCACCAAATTTAATGACAGGAAGTTTTTCATAATCTATTCATTCAAAAGCACAGAAAACATGCATACACACATAATGATACATATTTATTCTATTTTGGGATGCTGCAAAATGTACTACCCTATCAAAGTGCAGGAAGCCACATTTGTTTAATATAAATTCCGGACACGTAATCTTTCACATGTGAATATACTTTTTGATAGAATGAGAAATAATTTTAGAATTTATATACATTATAAGCATCAGACAAATCATTCTGTTGTGGCTAGATCCTAATATTTTTAGTTTTCGATTTAATTAAAAAAGTGACAGTTGATTTCTGCATAGGGAAGAATGAACCGTTATGAAAAACAGACACATTGGAAAACTGTGAACTTTTTTTACTCTTCTGAAGAAAATGTCCAGTCTGCAGAGAATCATAGGATTCATGAGTAGATTTGCAAATTCATGGTTTAGTGCAGATCAGATTACAAATTGAAATATTCAGATGAACACATCAAAAAAAGTCTGTGATTCTCTTGAACTGCAACTGTCAGTCTGCATTACAAGTAGCACTGTTAGTAGTCCAAATTTTAGTGTGCACTCAGTAAACGACATTTGTAAACCACACTGACATTTGAGTGGGTAATAATAGCAATGGATAGTAATAAGCAAAGGGTTAGTGTGTAATAGGCAAATGGGTATTGGATAATAGGTAAATGTTTGCAGTAACCCTTAATTATTTGTGTTTTTGCCTATTACTCATTCAAATGCCAAGGGGTTCACCCACATTGCTTTGGCCTGAAATTTAAAAGGGCAACAGGTAAATGGGTGTTAGGTAATGGTTAAATGTCTGCAGCAACCATAGTTTATTTGTATTGCTTGCAGATGATTCAAAATTCAAAAATGCCACAGTAGTTAATGTACAGAGCTGCTATCCAGATCAACAGAGCATTATAGAATTCATTAGGAGTGTAATGCATTCAGAGTAAGGTGAGAGTGAAATTAAGAAAGATTATGATAGTAAGGGAGTTTATCTATCTAGCCAGGTGTGTGGACCAGATGTCTGCTCTGCTGCTGTGCTGGGAAACATACATTGCAATGAGTACAGCAGTGATGAAATGCTCTGCAATTTACCTCTGCCAGCACCCGCTGTGTCTTTTCATTTTATTGGCAAAATAGTCATATATCTCCCATGTCAAAGTAATGGAATGCAATGGGAGTCTGCATCTGATGAGTATATAAGCAATGCTTCATAAGATCTCTTTGTGAGAGGACTACTGTATCCCAGTAGAGCTGCAGTGCCAGGAAGCTTATAGAGGAGGCACAGCTAAGGGCATAGCTACTAGCTTGAAATCAATTTTTCCAGGAAATGATACAAAAATGATAAGTCATATTTCCAATCTATGGGGATGTGAGAGAGATTAATCAAAATCTAAGTGAGAAATGTGTTTTAGAAAATTATTTTAAAGCAGGCCTGACAGCCATTAAAGTGTGTCTTTACCCTTAGCCTATTAAATTTTAAATTCCAAGAAACCTTCATAGATTATAATTTTTACAAATGGTTCTCTGAGATCTAACCTCCTGAGAAATGTTGTACTTATTTAAAGTGTCACTAGATTTAAATGTGTGGGCACAAGGATAACTTTATGAGCGTAACTATATCTCTTTCCTTCTTACACCCTGTTCACACTGGATTGTTATGAATTTTTCATCAGATTTTTTTTACATTGTTTTTTCTAAAACTTACCAGTTAGTTATTCATTCAAATTGGCTCCAGCTATCATGTGTTCTTCATCAATTAAAAAAAGCAGAAGAAAATCCCACTGTGAACACGCCAAAACCTTTTGCTGATGAAGCATGTAACCTTTGCTGGAAGATGCCACCATCTGATACCTAGGTCTGGTTCCAGGGCCAACTTGTTGCCATGTGAGAAGGCACCCGGGTGAGCAGGAACCAGAGCTTCTAACATCTCTGGGAGTCTCCAGCATGGCTTAAGAGCCTCAGACAACAACCAGCAAGTGATAGACCACTTCTAAAGCAGCTTTCTACCCTCATTGTTTTTTTTCCCACTGTACTTGGGATTCAGCATTCTCCTGGTTTTGTCTTTTCTTTTCAGTATCAGGAAAAACAAATACAACAGCTGTGAAAGCAAGCCATAATTTTCCATTTACCTAATGCAGTTGCTGTGTTGAATATTAAAGACAGGTCTTTCCAACATTTTTCAAAACTAGAAAAAAGCAGTTATTTCATAGAGTTCATTACCTCCTTTAAGTAAAGACCTAATTGCAAGGCAGCCTGGTCTCTGTCTCTACTATAGCGTTTAAAAAAAAAGAGGACAGGAGAGGCAGAAGAAAAGGACAGTGTGCCTTAAGCAAAAGCTCAACAGACCATGGGGCTAGGTCCAAGCTCTTACTTTTCTTTTCAATCCAAATTTTACCCAAATCTTATATTTGCTAGGCAGACGAAAGGCTATTCTTAGTTACTTAGTTACTGTGCCACCCCATTTTGTTATTGGCAGAGCTTGATGTAGCCCCCCCCCCAACAAAAAAAAAAATATACCATGGAATCACCATGTTCATGCATCATGCATGTAAACCCAAGCTACATAAAACAATTACATCAAATTATGTAAACCTTAAAATATATTATTAAAAAAGAGGTGTGGGATTTGAAAAAAATGAACACACACTCACCTCCATGCTGCAGCATCAATGTTATGCTGTAGCTGTCCCACATCAACTCTAAGACCAACAAATGAGCGATCACATGGCCGATGACTGCTTAGTTCTCGTTCTGCTCCAACCAGAGAGTAGTGACTCTCCACTCTGCTCTTCCAGGGCTCACTGGAGCACTGAGCCATAGAGGCGGCAATCAAGCATCCAGGTGGATCCTGAAAATATTGTTGGTATCCTTAACCACTTGCCTACAGGGCACTTATACCCCCTTCCTGCCCAGGCCAATTTCCAGCTTTCAGCGCTGTCACACTTTGAATGACAATTGCGCGGTCATGCAACACTGTACACATATGACATTTTTAGCATTTTTTTGAGACAGATAGAGCTTTCATTTGGTGGTATTTAATCACCTCTGGGATTTTTATTTTTTCTTAAACAAACCAAAAACCACTGAAAATTTTGAAAAAAAAAAAAAACGTTTTTTCTTAGTTTTTGTTATACAATTTTGTAAATAAGTGATTTTTCTCCTTCACTGATGTGCGCTAATGAGGCTGCAGTGATGGGCACTGATAGGCTGCACTGATGAACACTGATAAATAGCACTGATTAGTAGGCACTGATATGTTGCACTGATGGGGATTGACAGACATCACTGATAGGCACTGAAAGGCAGCACTGATACATGACACTGATAGGCGGCACTGACTGGCACTGGTAGGCCGCACTGACTGGCACTGTTAGGCAGCACTGAATTAGGCACTGTTAGGCAGCACTGACTGGCATTGATAGACGGCACTGATGCGCACCGATAGGCGACACTGACTGGCACTGATAGGTGGCACTGATTGGCAGCACTGATAGGTGGCACTGATTGGCATTGATAGGTGGCACTGACTGGCACTGATGGGTGACATTGAAAGGCAGCTCAGATGGGCACTGATATGTGGAATTGATGTGCACTGGTATGCACTGATATGTGGCATTGATGTGGCACTGATGGACATTGGCACGTGGCACTGATGAGCACTGACTGCTGGCACTGATGGACACTGACAGGTGGCACTTCTGGGGCCACACTGATCATCAGGGCACACTGATCATCAGTGCCCTGATGATCAGTGTACATGTTCCCTCCGCGGAAAGCCGATTACCGGCTCTCCTCTCGAGCTGTCAGTGTGCCGATAACCAGCATTTCCATGTTTACATGTGATCAGCTGTGATTGGACACAGCTGATCACATGACTGAGCTGACATCTTCGGCTCTTTCCATGATCTGTGATCCGCTGTGTCCAAGGGACACAGCGCAGCGGCGATCGCCGCACTGCGTGCTCCCTGAGCCACACATGCGTGGTGAGAATGAAAGGATGTCATATGACGTCCTATCAGAACAAGAGAACCACCTTGCGCCCGTCATTGTACTATATGGCGGGCAGAAGGTGGTTAAAGATCCTGGAGCAGCTCTGAAATGTTATCTGAAAGCAGGTAATAGCTTGTTATTAGCTAACTCTGGGTGATCCAGAAGAAAAGTACAGCCAACAAAGCTTTGTCCATACTTCTTTTTTAAATGTATTTTATGTACAACTAGCATATGCACTTGAATCTGTCATGATGCTAGCCTACTGTGTTACAGTGTTACAGTGTTACACTAACACTCACAGTGGGAAGGAATGAGTGGGCACTGCTTTCAGCCAATCAAGGCTATGTTTATACTAAATAAGTAAAAATTCAGCCGTCATATTACTATAGTCACCTATCAGATGAGTGAGGTATAATTATTATGAGGGGAAGAGTTGTGTACATAAAGAATGCTTGCAGTTTAGGAGTAAGGTAGGACATGCATACATTTCATCTAAGTTAAATTCTGTGCATTTTTGCTGGGGTTCTGCTTTAATTTCTTATTGATTTCTTCTTGCTGATTTAAAAAAGAAATAATTGTAATAACATCATAAAAGAAAAGTCTACCTACCATCCTACTTATAGGAAATCCCCCTTGACCCAAGCATGTGTAGTCCTGTCAAAGCCTGGGGCTTGGATATACTAGTAAAGATTTTAGTTTCATTTAGAGAATAATTTTAGTGGAAACATAGAAGTCAGATTGGCTTGTTTTGTGAGTTGCACAGTCACATTGCACCAGTGAAAGTCACTACTTTTGTCAATTTCAGTCCTTGTGACATTTTGAGAGAGGTGGCTATCAATCATCTGCTGTTTTTTGAGGGCTGAGAGATAAGAAGGGGACAGGTGGACAGCTGCCATTTGATGCACATTGTTTAATCTGGAATTACATATTCTGGGCAGTGGTCCCTTAATTCTAGCCTTTTCTCTCAGTAAATACTTAGCAAATGAACAGCCACCAAACACATATAGTATAAGGCCGGCCATAGACGAGCGGAAAACCAAATGCTCTGTCATTCGAAAATGATGCATACGCTTGTGTCATCATTTGTTTTGTTTTTCTAAACAAAATCCAGCTTGTTGGATCAGGCCCTTTTGATTACGACACGAACATCATGAGTCACAGCTGGCTCACTAATTATGTGGAAAAACGAACGACCAAGATTTTTCGTTTGGTTTTCAACTCGTCTATGGCCTGCTTATTGTAGAGTAGCAAAAAAACACAATGCTTGTATAATGTATATTTAAGTTTAATAGTTTTTGTCTTTTGTACACAGAGTACTAAAAGGTGCTATGTGTTCTGGATTACAGTGCTTTACATTCAAGAATTTTGACTTTAACATGTTAATGTATTTGGAAAGTAATTTTAAATATTTTTAAAACTATAGCTTTCTTCTTCCAAATAAGATCTGGTGATCCTGCCATAAAGGTCAGTGCTTTGCCCCTGTCTCTACTTTTCTCTTCCTGTGTTGTTACACTGGCATACGTGCTTTACGTGGATACTAGCTGTGGCTGTGACAATGCTTCTCACACAGGCAAGTCCCATAACAACAGTCAGCAGCAGGAAGCCAATCCTGAGCAAAAATGTGCAGCTAAACATTTGAGGTACACACTGCTTTAACAGACTAAATGTCATCCATTTATGGCTTATGTCTACTCAAAAGCTATTATTTGTATTCACAGATATGAATACTATTATACCAGATATGAATACTGTTATATTATTTGTATCTGGGCAGAACCTGAGAAACTTGACAGTGAAATAATGTGTTAGTTGTACACTTCAATACAAACTTATTTTTTGTCAATACATGCCTTTTGTGGCTGAGAAAAGCATACTCCATCAAGAGCTTATTGTGTATCATGAACAATCTCTCCACAGAGTTAGAAAAAAAGTCATTTTATTTTTGACAGGATCCAAAAATATTTTCAACTACACCTACTGTATATGTAGGTTGTATGTACAGCTTTATAATTTTCCTTTTTCAATTGCTACTACTAGGACTATAAAACAAGTGCTCTCAACAATGACAAAAAAAGGCAAAAAGACAAAAAAGGAAGAGGTGACCAACAAGGTAAAATGGAAAGTATAGTTGCCATTCGCAGCAGCTTTAATGTGCCCAAACACAAGCCTATCGGTCAAGAAAGGTCATTTTAGACATTCTCTGCTATACTGAACCCATATGTAGGCGACTTCTGACTTCTAATGCTGACAAATATTTATTTTATATAAATCAGTGCTGCTCCAGATAAGCAGAGACAAGAAGGAAAAAAAAAAAAAAGAGGGGGCATAAAAAGCCCCAAGAGAGATCCTTCTAAGGGTGATATTCAGTTGAACGTATGGGAAAAGTACAGCAAAAAGTGTAGTAAGCATATACTAACATTCATAAGGTTGCTGGATACCCGTCCGTAGGGTCAAGCAACCTATTTTAGCACATTTGGAGATTATGATGTCTCCACACAGAGTGTGGGTGGTTGCAGTCAATGCTCGTTGGGGTTTTCTGGAAATTCTTCCACCACACTTGGTTGCAATCAGATCCAGTGTCCATTCAATAAAAAGGTGCTTTCAAGTGGATTCTTCAGGAAGGTTGGTATTTATTGATCATGAAAACAGGTTAAAGCACCATCAATGTGCTTTGTGGCTCTTTAATGGCCACTTTGTCAGGAAAAGGTGTTCAGTACACTTTAATGGGTGGGATCTGTGTGCATTCCTTCATGCCAGAGTATACTGTTTCCTGAAGAATCCTCTTGGAACCACCTTTTTATTGAATGGGTGCCTCTGCTGACCACACATTGGGGCCTTATTCTATCTACTAAATATCTGATTTGATCTTGAATACCCAGGATGGAGAATGAGATTCTATGAGGCCATTATGGCCCCATGTGCCATTTTCTGTCTGTAGATGATCTTATAGGTGGATTGTAAACAAAGTGTGCATGCACCAAAATCATAAGTACTGAATCACATAGATAGGTGGATGATGAAAGTTATCAATTTCTGAGGTTGGGTTAGAAATAGGGTAGCCATTACATTTTGGAGGAATATAGGCTCTTGAAACAGATTGGATGTTTCACTTCTGGTCAAAGGTATATAAAGAAGTCAATATCTTACACCATCTACCCATGTGTGCAGCATGGAACTGCTGAAGTTGATGCTTGTACACATTGTTTACAATCCACCTCTTCAGCTTTCTGTACAAAACGTAATGCTCCTCCACATCTGCCAGCTGCCTTTCACCACACTAGTCCTGAGCATGTATCAGGGATTAATGTTGTCCTAAACAACTCAAGAAATCCTTTTCATTCCACCTTTAACCTGTATTAGATGTGACCCTCAGTATGAGCAGATTAGGCTCTTCAGCACTTCTCTTTGTAGGCTTCCTATGTAGTATTTAAGAAACAAAATGTCCTATGCATTTTGTGTTGCCCCTTAGCTACCACTTAGATTCTAATCTGCACTGGAAAGAGACAGTTGAGGAATTAACGTTTTTATCTCATTGAAAGCTGTGGGCGAGCAAGTCTATTTGAGACAGCTGCCCAGGTAAAGCTCAGTGTGACTCTCATAAGGGTTCATACACAAGACTGTTCATTGTTTGTGTTCTATTTTTTCCTTTTAAGAGCTGGTGAATACAGTTGCTTTTTGAAGTCACGATTTCTTGTATTTATGTGCATTGATTTTACTTGCATTTACATGCTTTCATCAGCAAGCTGCTTTTATTAGACACAGAACTTGTTGAACATAGAGAAATGCAGCAGGAAGTGTCTAAGGAAAGGACACTACAAACACAAGACCTTCAAGACATTTTTTGATGTTTTGGATAAAATGGGGAAGACCTAAAATTTCTGTCAGATTTTTACCTCTGTCTGTAGAAATAATTAGGGAGATTTTCCTTCACTTCGTTTCTCTGAGATGCCTGTGCAAGAAATGAGGTGTGATGTAATAGCAATGGAAAAAAAGCATGAACAGATTGAATAAATAAATAAATATATATATATATATATATATATATAAAATATAAATAAATAAATATATATATATATATATATATAAATATATATATATACACACAGGTGAAACTCAAAAAATTTGAATATTGTGCAAAAGTTCATTTATTTCAGTAATGCAACTTAAAAGGTGAAACTAATATATGAGATAGACTCATTACATTACATTTTGCTTTGCATGTAATGAGTCTATCTCATATATTAGTTTCACCTTTTAAGTTGCATAACTGAAATACATTAACTTTTGCACAATATTCTAATTTTTTGAGTTTATATATATTTAATTGTTCTAATCCCATTGCCATTTGAATATTTATGTACTTTTTCTGGAATAGGAGTATGAATTGTTAGTAAGCATTTTATATATTTGTAAGAGTTTTAAGGTACTTAATACAAGAAATAAAGTGAAGTAAAAAATATTCTATCCCTAACCCATGCAACTAAAAATGTGAGTGTGTTCTTTGTCTGTGTTGTTGATGGAGAGACACAGTAATAAAAACCTGACAGAGGCTCAAACTTTTCCCTGCTTTATCCCGAACACACACCCACGCCCACGCACACACACATAATAAAATCTACTTCTAATAAAGGACAAAAATTTTCTCATCCCCACATTTCAGTAAAAAAAAAGGAACACAACTCTACAGCACTTCTGCAATAGTAAATGTTGTCCTACCTCCTCTCTTTTGTCTATATAGTATAATCCCATGCATCCTGGGTGCTACTATCTTGCAATAACAAGACATCCCTAGAGTAGACTAGCTGCAATACTGAGTGCTGAGTGCCTCATCATGCTCCAATTCATTACTCTTTGTATTATGGCTTAAGTTGCTACGCAGG